CTTCTACAACCATTTGTAAAAGAACAGGTCACACCCTCAGGAGTTCAGTGAATTGCAGATTGTTATTATAAGTCCAGTCCAGTTGTGAAAGTTCCTCATGCCCAAATATTCCATAGTCAGATCTTAGTTGTAATATAGCCAAATGGAAGCGGTTGGGAACAACAGCAACTCAGCTAGTAGTAGGCCAGGTAAAATCACAGAACAATGTCAGAAGATGCTGAGTTGCATATTGTGCAGAGGTCACCAACTTTCTGGGGAGTCAGTCGCTACAGACCTTCCAGTTTCACGCAGAGCTTCATGGAATGGGTTTCCATGGCCAAGCAGTTGCATTCAATCCTTACATTGCCAAGTCTAATTCAAAGCGTCAGATGCTGTGATGTAAAGCATACCACCACTGGACAGGACACCACTGACAAATTATGCTTCTTTGTCTGGCAATCCGATGCAAGAGAACAGTACTTATCTGACTGCATTGTGACAAACATAAAGTTTATTGGAGGCAGAATTATGGGGGTTGTTTTTCATGAGTTGGGCTCAGCCCCTTAGTTTCAAACAGGACCTCCGAATGCTTCATCATACTATGAAATTTTAGTTATACTTAGTTATACGCTATACTAAAAATCCTGCCTTTTCTTTCTGTGATAGATCTGAAAATTGTTATCCATGATCTTATTTACTTTATGTACTTATTTTACAGTCAATCCTGTCCGTCCCATGAGGTTTAGAATTGATTTCAAGATCTTCAGGTTTGTCTGTAAAGCCCTTTATGGTGTGGCTCCTTCTTAGATTTCCTACTTTGCTTCCCAGTCCCTCCACTGCCCCCCACTCTAGACTTAAACTCAGAGGTGTTCTCTGTCTTGGCCCTCAAACTGTGGAAGAGCATTCCTCTAACAGTCAAATCTGCTCCGTGCAGTGAGTCTTTTAAAACTAGACTTAAAAATGATTTTTTTATTCTATTATTATTATTGTTTTAGTTAAGTCTGTCTCATTTGTTTATTGTGTCTTCTGTGTTTTTTTTAGCCATGACTGTATCTGTTTAACATTTACTAACATGTATTTTACTTATTTTTTATGTATTATATTCCATCTTTTGTACAGCACATTGTCTTTAAATGTGCTTTATGAATTAATTTGATTTGACGAGTAAAATCTTTAAACTAAGGCATCAAGTGTTTACATGAGGTAAT